TGGTTAAAACCGTTACCAAGGACACCCTGATTGGAGAAGGTGAGTTTATGCAAATTTAGTTCCTTGGAATTTGTCAACACCAATTGAAGTGGAGCGAAGGAGGAAAGAAGAGGGAGGGAGAGAGCCAGGGGTTGTATATCACCTAATGATGAACAAATGGGCAGATCATAATTAACGGGTAACACAGTTTTCCTATGAGCATAATGGTCATTTTTGAATGTGCCATGAACTGTTTTATACGGCCGTGTATCCGTTGTATAGTTGTGAATTGCTTTGAAGATGAACTTAATCTTTAACAAGACATTGTATTTTATTAACTATCATTATATATTTTGAATGTAGAATTGTAATCTGTAAAGTAACTATAACTGTTAAATTAATATAGAGGAGTAAGAAGTACAATATTTTCCTTTTGAAATGTAGTGGAGTAGAAGTACAGCAGCACAAATAGATCAAACAGAAACACAAGTATAAAAGTATAAGTATCTCAAAATAGTTTTGACTGGGGTTTTACAATGGCAGTTTGGCAAATGTAACATCAAATGTAATTAATGTCGCCTGTATTTTTTTAATATGGTGAAACGCTTTCAAAAGTGCACAATAAATGATTAAAGAAATGAACAGATCTTGAGTCTTGAGTAAAGGGAATAAGCAATACATTTTAAACACTTACTTTTTCCAAGCTCTTACCTTCTATCCCTGTTATTTCTGCTATCTCTTGGTATATAAGTCAAATATATGTTTGAAAAATAATTTTGTAATTCCATAAACTGTATAAAAAAATCTCTTCAGGTGGCAAAAACATTGCTAAGATTGACAAGAGTGTGGCTACGGACTAACGTGTTTATTCTCCCCTCGGTCCCCGTCACCTGACCTAGAAACACAGGTGAGGGAGGTGAACAGTCCTCTACAGTGGTGAAGCAGGCCGTACCTTGACAAATGTGATTCTGACTTTTGAGTGATCAAATCAAACCCCTCTCCATAGTTCACTGGGACTTTACCTTTACCAGCCTAGCTGCAGGTCCTATCTCCTGTCATGCTCTTCAGATTGTACTGATGTTCACGACGTTCAATGAAGGCAATTTCTGTTCTATTTGTTTTCATGAACTGCTTCATTGTGTGAATAATAAAAACTTATCTTTATATTGTCCCACGGCAACAAATACTAAATTTTAGTAAAGCTCATTTTTAGACGGTGTTTTTTAAAACGCAGGAATCTACGACATACCTTTTGTATTAACTCTCTCGTGAAGAAGTGGTAGGAGATGCTGGGACGTTTGTCAGAATACAAAAATTCCCATTTGTCATTTTCAGCTTGAATCTTTCCCAAGCACATATGGAGCTGTGTTGTAGACAGAGCATGGAGTGCAGCTTTACTGTGCAGCAGCCTTTAAGGAGGGCAGACAGCCTGTCTCCACTCATCACATTAGAGAGCCTCTTAGAGTGTGCATACATGTAAGCGTGTTTGCATGTGTGTCTCTGTGTGTCTTTTCCATGTGCATTGACTGCAGGCCCATGTGCATGCTTGACTGAATGCACATGTCCATCTGAGCTTGTGTGAGAGTGGTTTAGCACATGCATCCTACACATGTTTGTCCTTACATCTCTGTTTCCCCTTCTTGGCGGTGAGAATGTCTTTCAGGGGTAAGTTAAATTCCCAGCAGCCTCTAATCAGTGGCGGTGTACGGAGATTGCAGCCTATAGAGTGAGAATCAATGACTTGACAGTGTGTGGTGAAGTGATCAGTATAATCGTGTTACGCTTTACTTCAAAATCCAAGCCAAGCTGTTTCTCCAAGACTATTGCCAAAGCCACTGAGACGTTTAACCAAGGCCTATCTACCTAAGTAAGAGATCTTCATTGCTGGGGATCTGTAGTCCACTAAGAGGGCTAGAGCTCTCTGGTCTGGGTGTAAAGCCTGTCATTTCCACACAGTTCTGTAGTGATGTGTATAATAAAGCATGTGAACAAGAGAAAGAGACAGGAGGATGGATGGAGATGGAGAGGCAGCGATGGAAAAAGAGAGCCATATTTTTCTCTTCTGGCCTGAGAGATAAAAATCCGGAGAATAAAAAGGTGAGCAGACGCTAGGCAAACACACACACACACACACACACACACACATACATGCATTTATACACACATCCTCACATACTAAGACTTCTTTTGCCACTTCTCAGCCCGCTCAACTTTCCTCCTGAGGTTGTCACAGCTGTCTTGTCAGCATATGCCTCTTAAGATGGTGGGAAGAACACAAATGTACACATACGGGCAGGGCGATAAGGCCCAAAAAAGGAAATCTTTCCTAAGCTTGGGGGCGATTCACGACTTAAGGCAGGGAAACTAAAAATGTTACGTATTTCCGTCGACTAGACACCTTGAGCCACGACTCACGGCTTTGGGACTACAGATGAAAAATCACCTCTTGGCTAACTCTGGCGCATTTACAGCAATGTTTTTATTAATGTGCACTGTCCCTGATCAAATAAACCAATAAATAACGGCAGTCTCGCAATCTGAGGCAGCTGCGTAAGTGTCACAGTTTAAGGGACTGCCATGTACATATATATGTATATATATATATGTATATATATATATGTATATATATACTGTATGTGTGTGTGTGTGTGTGTGTGTGTGTGTGTGTGTTTGTGTTAGTGTGTAGGAGAGAGAGACGGTGTATGTTTGCACCATATGTGTGAGAGTGTCAACCTTGGAGTGACCTAAGGGATTGTATTTAGTATTTATCTGATTACTCGTCTGTTTCTCAGACAACCTGCAACTGGATAACGCTGTAACTCCCTGATTACAACTTACTCTACAATCAATCACCCATTAACGGGAGCACACAGGCGGTACACATGCCCAATCACACACACACACACACACACACGTCCAGACGCGTGAGACAAAAATACAGACACCACCATTACTGCCGCTATATCAGAGGATAGCATGATGAAACGCCCATGACCGAATCTTCAACGACACAAAGCCAAAACTGCCAGACCTTGTCTTATCTTGTGACTTTGCCATTCCTGTCTCTCGTGGTGGTTTCAGTGTTTTTGTTGCTTTTTGCAGATCTCAGCACTTCACAGAAAGCCTGGTGATGCACCACAATACGAGAGCACCTCCGTCCTCTCTATGTCTTTTCACCATCCTTCCATTTATGAAAATGTTTGCCCTTGACTTGTCAAAAGATAATGAGACTTGAGAAGATAATGCCCGGCAGGGTCAGTCTTACACGCAAACAGAAACAACACACAAAGCCGTGGTTGTAGGTACTCGCATTACAGCAAGGACACACACATTTGCATACAAACAAATTCACACAAAACAACCTTGTCATCTCTGGAAAGTGAGAACATTATGAGAAATATCCACACAGAAGGCTCAAAGGACTGTCTAAGATGCTGCTTTCTTTTGACAGAATTAAAGAAGAGACTCTGACTCATAAATCATTTTTCCTCTCATTCATCTGCTAATGGAACCTCCGTACAAGGCAGATGTTGAGACACACACTACACTGACTGCAGTATAAATATCTTTAGCATCAGTGACGTTAGACAGCAATGACAAAGACAACCAGCTCAGATGAAGGGCATCTGGTGCACGCCACTTTATCATGACAGCAAAGCCAGAGGCAGAGCTTAATGTTTTCAAGCCATCACTGCCTTCCATATGTGGTCAAACCAACGACAAGATCCACTATCATCACTGCTTGGAGTATCCTTAGGTCATTTTGTCATTGTCTATTGCTTATTTTCAGCCAGATATGGTGTTAGTCACATCTCTGCTTCTGTCTTCTTTCTGCTCCAAGAGTCTGGAGGAGTAGTGTTGAAATAAAACTCGCTGGCTTATTGACCATGTCATGACATAAAAACTAAAGACTAAAACATGTCTTGCAAGCCCTGGTGCACCAAAGATCTGGGGGGGGTGCTTAAAGTCGACTTTAAGCATCATTAAAGTCGACTTTATTGCACAGCAGTCTCATTGTATTGCATTAGACTCTATACATGTGTAGGTGGCCGCAAGTTAGTATTTTTTCTAGGTTTGTTGCTGGATAGCATTGGATGTAGGCGAACCTAACAACCATTTCACTGTGTATATATAAGTCATTTTACACAGCGACAAAATGATCACATTGCAATGAAATTCATTGCAAAGCTATAGCCAATGAAATCAACACGGAGTTTCACCTGTCTGACACATTTCCAACAAACTCTAAACAAGCTTCCCAAAGACACACAGAGGAGTTCATATTCATATTTCTACCCCACAAGAATATGTAAGAACAGCTCGACCTCAGGCACATAAAAAGCTCCTCTATAAGCTCTCACACACAGGCAGCAGGTGTGTCATGCTCTCAAGCCTTTTTTTTTCTTCCAGAGAAAGGTGATTTTCATTGCACACACAGGTGGTCATTGTAAAGCAGAGAGGCTAAGATACCCAACCTTCACATGAGAAATGAACTGGAAAGTAGAAAGGGGCCTCTGGGCTCAATCATGCTGGTGACTCAGCCGCTTGGCTCACATGGGAGGGGTATCACGCAGCCAGGGATTTCTAATCCATAAGACTCATTGCTCACTATGTGTGCTGTAACCTACAGGCATTTTGGAAAGACGCCCCGCTCTGATGGGGACTGCGACGACTTGAAAGCCTCTGAACTGAGAAGACCTTTTTTTGGTTCCCCCTTCCTTTTATTAAAGACCTTTCTTTGAGTTCTTCCTGGCAACCTGTCTCTGTGGTCTCGTATTTCATTGTGAATCCAACCTCTGCATTCCCTCGGGTGGCACACGGCCTATTCACTTCAACTTTACTCATGAAAATAAATTGGCTGCAGAGGCTGCCTGCGGTGGCAAACCACGATAGAGCCGATACTGTGAATGCTGCACACAGATGCTGACCAAGTGACAGGAATATGTACTGTACACAAACACACGCACACACACACACACACACACACACAAACACACATGATTGGGCATACATCTACCTACCCGTGTGGCTCCTGTGTGCCTGTGTGAGGGAGGCCAGACAGAGGGACAGCAGTAGGCTCCACACACCTACTCCGCAAATGCAAGGACCCCGTTCCCGCATTCTGCCAGAGAGAAACAAAAACACACATACTCCATTAGGATATAGATTTGCATTACTGCCTTTTTAGTCAAGCTAGCAGTAAAAGTTCTAACGTCTTCTGTGATCCGTTGACTGTTTTAGCGCTACCAGCAGGTTCAAGTTTTCAATTATCCAGGGAAATACCTCGACATCTACGTCATGGATCAACAATTTGAATAGACATTCATGATTTCCAAAATTTCAATTTTACCATCTGTTTGGTTTATGACAAAATACTTGCAAAACTATTAACATTCCCAACTTTATGATGTTTAACATGTAAACATTATGTGAGCAACATTGTCATCGTGGGCATCTTGGCATTTAGCTAATACAGCTTTGGTAAAACACAAATGCTTCAATGATACTTGGACAACTTTCTAAGATAGCTGTAAAACATACAGACACAGCCAACATTCACAAACACCTTACAGCAAAACATATTTACACATTGAAAGTGAATGTTTACTGCAAATAAATCCAAACAGAAGGAGAGTGACTCAGAGAGAGAGGGGGGAGACGGGTAGAGAGAAACAAAGGGATAAATTACAGAAGTTAGGAGATTATCGTTACGTGTCGGTTTGAAACCTGCAGAACAACATCAGTGACAGAGATGGGCCAAGTTCTGTTGATGCCGTCTACATTGTTGCTGTCCAGTGATTAACTAACGTGTTTGTTTGTGTTTCACACACGTGAATTTGAAGTCACAGAAAAAACAACAACACAAGACCTCGTAGAAAAAATGCTAAATTGTATGCTAAACATGTCCACAAATAGAAAATATGAATACATGCATGTTCTGACTGTTAAGTTTTTATTTTTTTACAAATGTGTAGATTGATATTTAAATTGACGCAATGACAGCTGCACACTTGTAATCAAACATTTACTCATATTTATGTTTTTAACATGAGTCCAGTAGAACCACAACACGGTGATTAGATCCTCTACAAGTACCCACATTGTGTTCTACAACTTCTCATGTCAAGTCTACAAGCTCTTGCATTTCGCAACATATTTACCTTCATGAAGATACAACAATAGGAGAAACTTAAAAATCCATTTAAGCTTCCAAACAGGAAGTGGGTCTATCTTGGGGGTCGAGAGGATGTAGGTTTGCCCAGACTAGTAGTACCACTACTCTCTCTTGATATCTCTGCACCTCTAAGAGTGGATTTTTGTCTTTATATTTACTGATGGGGAGCTTTTGCCCAGATTAAAGTGAATGCCTCGTACAATTTTTTTGTTTTTTGTGTTAAGGGCAGCATTACGGATTTTTTTATTACAATGCACACTTTAAACTGGGACAATATTCTGATAGTATAATAGAATAATTTAAAACATTTTTTAGTGTTAAAGTGATCTTCTTCAAAAACAAATTAGTTATATTAATTTAAAGTCTCTTTATATCTCGACCACAATCAATAAATAAGATTCCAGTATTTCTGGCTGTCTAATCGTTTAATTTGGCCGAAATGACATGTTTGGACGGTCTACCTGCCTGACTGCCTGTGAGTAGTAACACTATCCATGTTCGTTGTTTACGTTCATTATGATAATTATGGGGGAGCGGCTTCGAATGGAGGCCTGAAGGGACGGGATGTCGGTTGAAAATCTTGCGTACTCTTGCTAGTTTCTTAGGATTTTCAACCCGAGCTTCGAGTCGCCCTCTAAATACTTCATGGTGGTTGATTTGTTTTCTAGTAAGGCAGCAAAGGTGTGGGCAGGAACAGAAAAAGAATGTGAAATACTTTTGAGCAAATATAGTGATGATTCGAGGAAAAACAAACCAAACTTTCCAGGTTTGTGTGAGAGTCTGTGCAGATTACCTCAGTGGAGATGAGATTATACACATGCCGGGTTGGGTCTCGGTATCTGCTGATGTGCTTGTTTGTGCACATGTATTTGGGCATAAATCGGTGTGCATGTGTGTGTGAGTGCTTTTGCCGTGAGGAAGTGTGTGTGTGTGTGTGTGTGTGTGTGTGTTAAACCCTGGCTTGTGTTCTGAGCTGGGTGTGTGAGTCATCTGACTGTGCAGCCATGCATTTCTAGAGCTGGGAGAAGCTGCAAAGCCAGACAGGCTGAGCCAAGGCTTTCTCTGGTTAGAGGGCATCACACACACACACACACACACACACACACACACACACACACACACAC